ACAGGCACGTGCCACCACACCCAGCTAATTTTTGTATTTTTAGTAGAGATGGGGTTTCACCATGTTGGCCAGGCTGGTCTCAAACTTCTGACATTGTGATCTGCCTGCCTCAGCCTTCCAAAGTGCTGGGATTACAGGCGTGAGCCACCACGCCCGGCCAGAGGGGCTATTTTCTTATATAGTTTTATTATATTATAGTTGCTATCTTTTAAATCTATTTACTTTTTTCTTTTGGTGATCAAATGAAGCTTCCTATATTCAGTTTAATTTTACCACTAATGGCAGCCATGGCTAGGCATAGGACCTGGCACTTACTGCTTTCTCTGCACTCCAAAAAAGTGGACCTGTGAGTTTTTTGCTGATTGAAGTTACTTACAGTTTTTGATTTCCTGTTACCCCTTGTGATAGGCTTGGTAGGATGCTCATTTTACAGATGAGAAAACTGAGCTTTGGTGAGGTTATTTGACCAGTATTCATTACATATAACAAAAATTTCAATATTGTTTTCTAATGAAACGGAATACAATTTAGGTTTTTAACTTTCTCATTATAATGCCAATTTGAAATGCTTTTCATAAAATATTTATTTTGGTGATATAAGAACTCATAGAGGAATGCACATCAGATTTGTTTTTTATGCTTTCTTTTTTAAAAAATTTAATCTATTTTTAAAAAATAAAGACAGGGTCTTACTAGGTTGTTGCCCTGGCTGGTCTTGAACTCCTTCTGGCTTCAAGCAGTCCTCTGCCTTGACGTCCCAAAGTGCTGAGATTACTGGTGTGAGCCACTGCTCCTAGCCTTGCTTCTTATGCATTCTGTGTACTTCTGTACAATTATAGATTGTGACTAAAGCTGTGGAACCCCTTGCCTTTTCCTTTCTCAAAGACTAGAATCGTTTATAGAAGAAAGTTTTGTTTTCTCCATTTGGACATTTACATTTTACCCCAAATTTTAGGATCTCCAAAATGGGTTTGTATTTTAGTTGTTTAGAGCTTTAAGAATATTTTATCAGAGAAGCAAGAGTACAGATATCATGTTTGCAAGAACTTTAAAAATCAGATACTTCAATTTGGAAGGCT